GGGTTGAGTTAGAGCTAAGATCAGGACTCGTGTACAGGATGGGGCAGGGGTGGGGTTAGGCTTGGGGTCTGAGTTGGATTCCAGGTCAGGTTCAGGGCCCCTGCTGAGTCACCCAGGGGTCTGTACCTCATGTCCTACAGGGCATGGAGTACCTGGGCTCCCGCCGCTGTGTGCACCGTGACCTGGCAGCGCGTAACATCCTGGTGGAGAGCGAGACGCATGTCAAGATCGCTGACTTCGGCCTCGCCAAGCTGCTGCCACTCGACAAAGACTATTACGTTGTCCGGGAGCCCGGCCAAAGCCCCATCTTCTGGTGGGAACCCAGTCTCGGCCCCGCCCCTCTTCCCCACGGCCTCTCTCCTCCCGGGCCACATCCCTCCCCCCACTATACTGGCTCCACCCCTCGGCCCTGGCTCCGCCCCACAGCTGCAGGTGCCACCTGAACCCCACCCTTCTCCCCGCTTCTCTTCACTAGCTTGGCCCCTCCCTTGCTCCCCACTGTTCTGCTCTGACCCCTCCTCCTTACTGTCCTGGGCCCACCCTAGCTCCATCCCTCCCACAGCCCTGGCCCCTCCCCAGCCATACTCTTCTCAGTGTAATGGCTGCGACCCTACCCTTCAGTGCTGGCCCCCTCCCCTCCTCACAGCTACGGCCAGAGTTGACCACACCCCGGACTCCAGGTCCAGTCCCAACTAGTCATATTATCACCCCCATCACAAGTCAGGGAATTGAGACCCTGGAGCTGTAATCTGACCTCACAGCCCCACCTGCCCTGGACAGCTTCCCTAGCCCAAGGCTGCTCCTTTCCTGTCCTCTGCCCAGCGCTTGCACCCCAAGGCCGCCCTGTCCCCTTCAGGTACGCTCCGGAATCCCTCTCGGACAACATCTTCTCGCGCCAGTCGGATGTCTGGAGCTTTGGGGTCGTTCTGTACGAGCTATTCACCTACAGCGACAAGAGCTGCAGCCCCTCCGCTGTAAGCGTCCTGGGTTCCTAGCAGCTTGGGCCCCTAGCACCCTTCTCTCCCCACGGCTTCGGCTTCGATATGGCTGATCTCCTCCCCACCAGGCAGCCCCTCCGTCACAGAGGACCTTCCCCTCCCCTGACTTCTGATGAACCCCTTCCTCCCTTCACAATGGCTTATCCCCCTAATCACCTGCTGGCCCCTTCACCTCATCTGGGAATGTTCCCCTCCCACCATGGGTGTTCCCTTTGGCCCCAGGAGTTCCTGCGGATGATGGGATGTGAGCGGGATGTCCCTGCTCTCTGCCGCCTTCTGGACCTGCTGGCAGAGGGCCAGAGGCTGCCTGCACCTCCAGCCTGCCCTGGTGAGGTGAGTGCTTGGAAGGACTGACTCAGTTTCCCACACTAGGGTCTTGGGCCCTGATGTGGGAATGAGCTTGGTGCATTTAAATAATGATGTGGCTGCATGGAACAAGGGAGGAGGTGATGAAGGGAAGGAAACAGAGGAAGGGGTGAGATTTTGTTCTAAGACCCATAGGGAGCCATGGAAGGCTTTGGAGCAGGGGAGGGATGGAGTCTAAGTATATTTTAAAACTGTGAACAAGAGCCATGTCCTTCTTATCACTCCCATGTAACTCTGTTGTCTCCTCCCACCCCCTCAGGTTCATGAGCTCATGAAGCTGTGCTGGGCTCCTAGCCCACAAGACCGACCATCCTTCAGCACCCTGGGCCCGCAACTGGATGCTCTATGGAGTGGAAGTCGGGGGTAGTGTCCAGAGGCATGAGATGCACACCTTCCCTGCTTGTTTGGAGGGATAATCTCACTCACTGTCATTTTTATATCTACTGCACACAGACCTCTGGGTTCTTGTTTCAATGGACTGGCTTTGTGAGTTTGAGCAGGATGCTGTTCCTCTCTGGGTCACCTGCTTCACAAAGACCCCCATGAGTCAAATGGCATTGCATTTGGGGGGCATCCAAAGCAGCTTCCTGGCCTTTGGAGCTTGTAAAGATTCAAGACAGATGCCTCAATAGGGCCCGCTGAGCCCCGCCCCCAGAAGCAAGGGACGGCATTTAAGCTCCTCCCATCTTCCCATCCTCTCAGAGGATGTCTTCCTGTCTCATTTCCAGCAAGGACATTGTGTAGATTTAAATGTATAATCTCAGGCTTCTGTTCACTTATCCTACTCTCACTGGAGGAAGCCAAGGACAAGAGCAGCTGCTCTGGTTGGAAATTCACTTTTTAGGGGAGCAAGTGTGACTGGGACTGTGTGAAGAGCCAGGAGAGGCTGGGGTCCCAGTCCATCCTAACTGTACCTCGGGCTTGTTTCCCTGCCTGTACACTGGGGCCCTTTCTGTCTTGACCAGAGGGTTACACACTGATGACCCTGGAGCCTGACAGGAGCTTTTCAGTAGTTGAGGGAGGGAAAGGCATTCTTGGCAGAAGGAGCAGCATGGCAAGAGCGAGGAGGCTCAGAGTACAGAGTTTGTTGGAGACCATAGCTCTGCTACTTATTTGCTGTGTGACAGTGAGCAAGTTGTTTCCCCTCTCCAGGTCCCAGTTCCGTATGCTGGCCCCTCAGCTATGTAGGTAGAGTCAACTTCTGGAGGCTCATGCAGGTTAAGGCCCATCAACCCTTCTCACCTGCCCACAAGGCTTTTCTGCCACTTAGCCTCCCTGGAAAACTTGTATTCATCTCTCAAAACCCCAGCTATCAATCCCTGCAGCCTTCCTTGATGTGCTCTCACCATTCCCAGTAAGCCCTATACTTCCTTCTGACCCTAGGGCTGCGGTGGTGACTATGTCCAGCTCTGTCTCTTCCTACCTGGAGGCTCCATGGGGGCTGGGTGGGGTGGACATAGAGGGGACTCTGGGGGTGTTTGTTGAATGAGTAAAGGAGTTCAGTGGGCCCGGTTGGTGTGGCTCAGTGGACTGAGTGTTGTCCCATGGACTGAGAGGTCCTAGTTCCATTCCCAGTCAGGGCACATGCCCAGGTTGTGGGCTTGATCCCCAGTAGGGGGCATGCAGGAGGCAGCCAATCGATACTTCTCTCTCACATCAATGTTTCCATCTCTTTCTCCCTTCCTCTCTAAAAAGTCAATAAAAACTTATTGTTTTAAAATTAAAAGTTCAGTGGAAGGGATGGTTTGTTGCTGGACTTGGGCAATGGGGAACCTTGAGGGGGTGCCATCTGGGAAGAAATGTGGTTAGAGCTGGGAGATAGAGACCCCTGAGGGGCACAATGGGGGCCTTAGGATAGGTTGCAGGAGCAGAAACAGCAGGGTAGGGCATTGGCTAGGGTCCTGGAGGACAGAAGCCCTTCCCCCAGCCCCAGCTGCTGGCCTCGGTTCTGTCCTGGGGAGCTGATTACAGACTTTTGGTGGGTGGAGGGAACAGGCTGTTCTGCGTGGGTCAGAGGGCAAGGCCCAGTTGGGAAGGCTAGGCTGTGGGGAGGGGTTCAACATCAGGAGGGCCAAGCTAGTCCCCTGTGTGCTCCTCAGGACTGCTGGAAAAATATGGAGAGAGAGAGAGAGAGACAGGGAGGGAGGGAAAGAGAGAAAGAGAGAGAGCAAGTGAGAGACAAAGACAGATCGCTCAGGCCAGGAAAAGCCACCTGCTTTGGTAAAAAGTGCAGAGTGAGTCGGGGTTGCAGGCTGCTCTAAGCTTGAGCAAGACCAGTTTTTCAGCTCAGGCTCTCTCTGTCTTACTTTCTGTTCTTGGTCAAACAGGGTCAGAAGACCTCCTGGGCATCAGGATGGCACCCAGTAGGTGCTGAGCAAATGAAACCACATTTGTTCTGGGCCCTTCAGTCTGCCCAGCCCTAGGGGACCTTGGTGTGAGAGAGGCAGAGCAAGCCAGGACCCCAGCCTCCTGCAACCCTGGGCAAGTGTGGGATCCCCTCTCTGAGCCACAGTTTCCTTATGTGTACCCTAATAACAACAAGATTCTGGATGTCCCTGGTCTCAGTTGGCTGAGTGCTATCACCCCAACCCATGAAATTATTTCTCAGTTTATCTATTTCACTTCTTTAAAATGGTTAAAAATAATAATAAAGACTCCTTAACCAGCAGTCCACCCAAGAGAGGTACACCCAAGGCCCTGCCCAGGGAAAGAGACCTTTACTATTTTGTGCCTGTCTCAGCCTATCAATAACCACGCTGTGGCTGGACCAGCCCCTGTGTTTATTATGATTACAAGACACCATCAGTAACCATCAAGGAACTTTGAAAAAAAAATCAAGGTTTACTACTTATAGAACCTGGAAAAGACACAACACATCTCAGGGCCACACAGCAAAGTGGTGGGTAGAGAAAGAAAGAACCTGCTCAGGTCTGGGCTTCTGCTTTAAAAAAAAGTTTATTGATATTTTTGGAGAGAGAGGAAGGGCGAGGGAGAGAGATAGAAACGTCAATAATTGGCTGCCTCCTGCACTCTCCCTACTGGTGATCGAGCCTGCAACCGGGCATGTACCCCAGCCAGGAATGGAACCCGGGACCTCGGACTGGAGACCTCTCAATGCATGGGTTGACACTCAGTTATTGAGCCACACTGGCCAGGCTGGGTTCTGCTTTTAATGGCACTGAGGATGGGTGGGGAACGAGGGGGTTGGGGAAGGCTAGAGTTTTGCAGATATCCTTTATTGGTGAATTTAAAACATGAGAGTAGTAATTTAAAGTGCAAAAGAGAAAAAGCAAGTGGCCCAAATGGTCAGTTATCAAAATCAACCCAGATCTCTAAAACAGGAGTCTCAGGGAGGAAGGTCGCCTGGTACTTCATCCAGTTGCTGGCATGTGCTTTTTGGAGATTGCCACCAATGAGGTGGTTGCCTCCATAATCAAAGCTTGATTAAGTCAGGCACTAGCATTATAAAAAAGAGAAAACAGTGTCAGAGCTTACACTGAACTCACCCTGCCCCTGCCCTTGACCCTCTCCCTGGGCCCTCTCACATGCTTCCTCCTTCCTCCAAGGTCCCCAGCTGGGGCAGGCTGGGCGCCTATAAGGGGGGGTGCCCGCTGGGTTTGGGCGCCTCCCGCCACTATGGACTCCCGCCTGCTCCCCTGGGCACTGGTGCTGCTGAGTCCGGCCCTGGTACTGGCGCTGGACCGCGTGCCCGCCCCGGTGGCGCCAGAGAAACTGTGTGGCCACCACTTCGTTCGGGCGCTGGTGCGAGTGTGCGGTGGCCCGCGCTGGTCCCCCGAGGCCGGGCGGCCAGTGGCTGGCGGCGACCGTGAGTGGGGCGGGTGGGGAGTGTGTTCTTGGGTCTCTGTAGGCACGGGGCTCATGTGGGTGTCAGGGCCGCGGGTGGGTTTGCACGGGGGAACCGGGGTCCACCTGCTGGCTGCGCGGTGTGTGAAGTCCGGAGAGGATGCTTTCCCCAACTGGCGGGAACCTGTGCGGGGCCTTGCGGAAAGAGACAGAGTCTTGCAAGTGCACAGTCAGATCCGTCTTTACCATTTCAGTATTTTGATCTCCATGCATTTTTGTATTAATTTTGATTTTTTAAAAATATGATTTTTATTGTTGAGTTTGGGTGCTACCTTAAATTGTGCTCCAGGAGGCCATTGCTCACTCTCCTCATCCTAGTCCTAGCCCTGGTGCAGAGGGCATAATACAGGTTTGTGTGCACGTGTTTGTGTGACACGGTGCAGATAGGTGTATAGAGGTGCACATGGCAGGTGGGGGCACTGGGAGGGGGTTTGAGGGTATGTGCCTGTGTATGCTCATCCAGGAGTGTACATGTCCAGGTGTACCCACTGTCTGCACACCCATGCACGTAAATGTGTCACGTCACCTCTGCTGTCTTCTACTCTGTGAAGTGTATGTGTGTCCATGTGATAGGTAGCACATGTGAGTGTGCACTGCAAGGGACTTGAGTGTGGGTGTGGGTCAAGTGTGCACACACCTGGATGGGTGATTAAATCTGTGCCCAGTATATAGTAGGCACTTATAAGTGCTCACTGTTTGTATGCATGATGAGTGTTTGGTGGACAATTCAGTGGGATGTGAACATGCAGGGGTGTGTACACAGAATGGGTGGGGGTCTTCTGAGGTCCCCTATCTATGCTGAACTCTATCTCCAGGTGAGCTGCTGCAATGGCTGGAAGGACGACATCATGGCCTGGTGGCCGAGGACTCTATGCTGGTACTTGACCCACAGCCCCTGCCCCAGGCCTCTCACCATCACTACCACCGCCGGGCAGCTGCAACCAACCCTGTCCGCCACTGCTGCCTCAGTGGCTGCACTTGGCAAGACCTGCTGACCCTCTGTCCCCACTAAGCTCTCCTGGGGCATGGCCTCAGGAGAGCCAGAGACTCAGAAGGTCTGGTCTGAAACTCCTGAAGCCATACAACACCATAAAGCCCCATATCTGGGGGTACATTGTTGATTACCTCCTGAGACAGGGAACTCACCACCTACCCTAGGTCACTTGTTTTCTGTGGGGCCAACTTGGGGGAAAAACACCCCCAATACCCTGGCTTAGAGGATCCTTGATTTTACAGAGATGTCAGACACTGAGGGCCAAATGTCCTCACCTCTGAGGAGCCCCAGGTACCACCCTCTCTGCATTTGTGATACCCCCTCTTGCTGTGTTTCCCCAGTAGTAAATAAATAAAATTCCTGCAGAATTCAAAGTAGCTTTTTGTATTTTCTTAAAAAATAGGACAAGCCTGGGCCAGACCTCATGTGGGCTTGGCTCCTGGCAGCCATGGACCCACCATCACTTCTAGGAGCTTGACAATTTGAGAGTCATCACAAATCAAAATTGGAAAACTAAGGCCCAGGGAGATGGCTGCTTGCCAAGACCAGACAAGGAGGGAATGGTCAAGTGCAGGATTCCAATCCTGGGAGGGCCTTAATGTCATTTAATGCCCACTTAATAGTGTATACACACACAAATATCCAAATGAGTCACAGTGGATATTTATTGATCTAACTCTAACCATTCTTCTCACTTGCACCCTCTCTTCGTCCTGAGATGGGGATTGTATGATAGAACCTCATGGCTATAAGGTGGGTCTGTATGTGCTGACCCTTCCCATGGGCCTAGGAGAAAGAGTACAGGGCAAGGTGTGCAACATACAGTAGGTGCACAATAAATACTTAAAGAAGGGAGAGAAGGACAGCAGAGTCACACCTAGCAGGAGGAGGTGAGCCAGGGAGGAGAAAGGAGGTTGGGTGGGATTGGGAAGGGGCCTTGCCAAACACCTGTTCAAGGCCTACAGGGTTGGGGTCCACTGGTTCACTTAGATCTCCCTAATCAGAAAGATACACTGCTTTGGGGGCCAGTCCTGGGTTTCAAGAGCTCAGGGCCCCTCTAGGACCTAAACCCCCTCCTTCTCTGGGCACTGGGGTGTGTTTGTGCTGGCTTTGGGCTCAGTGAAGATCCCTCTGGTCCCAATACTGTCCCCTGAGTTCTTGGGGAGCCCAGGTGAGGGGGCTGGGTCCTACCAGGTACTCCAGACACCGAGTCTTCGTAACCCGAGACAGAGAGCTGCCTCCATCCTCTACCCAATATTTCTACCACTAGAGCACTTGATACCACCGGCAGGGAGGGGCAGTCCTATTCATGGCCTCTCTGGCCCCTCCTGCATCTGAGGGTTTCAAGACCCATGAAGAGGTCAGTATCTGAACCCCTCTCCCTTGCTGAAAAATGCTTCCCTTCAGCTGCATGTGAACCCAGAAATTCCCAAGTGACCTTGAACCATGGCCAGAACTCACCCACAATTAAACCACTGCAGGTCCACTACCAAGGAGAGGCTGGCCACTATTTAGGGTCCAGCCCATGGTCAAGGTCGGGGCTGAGATGTGGGACTTTGACTCAAATGGGCTGGAAGCAGCAGCAGCAGCTGGAACCCTGGCAGAAGTGCTTCTGCCAGTAGCTGCCATTGAAAGAGAAGGTCCCTCCAGCTGAGAGTCTAGGAAGGATGATGAACATGGTCTAAGCAGTATTGGGTGAGTTTTGAAGGATGTGTAGGTATTTGCCACAAAACTATTCACTCATCAGGCCCGGCCAGTGTGGCTTAGTTGAGCATCCTCCCATGCACCGAGAGGTCACTGGTTCGATTCCTGGTTGCGGCACATGCAGGATTGCAGGGCTCAAGCCCCAGTAGGGGGTGTGCGAGAGGCAGCCAATTGATGTTTCTCTCTCATTGATGATTCTCTCTCTCCCCCTCTCCCTTCCTTTCTCTCTCTAAAGTCAATGAAAACATATTAAAAAACAAAAACAAAAAAACCCTATTCACTCAGCAGACCCTCCCTGGCACTCCCCTATGCCCTAGGAGGACAAAGGTCTCATCTTCCTGGGAGGAAAATGTTACCCCTTCCTGTGAGGGTGGAGAAAGGAGCCTAGAGGCTAGAGGCCCTGACACCACCTCAATAGATCTGCATTCGCTTGCCACAGGTGAGGTTGGGCTGGCTCAGTGCATCCCACATGAGCCACATCTCATACGGCAAGAAGCGGTGCACCAGCAGCAGCTCCCGGTAGAAGCAGGGGTCAAAGGAGGACAAACGTCCCGAGGGGGCCCAAATGCCGGCAGTGCGGATACCACTGTGTGAGGTGGGCTTCAGGCCCGCCTGCTTCAGGCACATGCCCAGGAAGACATCATCAATGGGGAAGAGGTCTAGGGTGCGGGCAGCCAGACGCAGGGCAGCAGCTGTGAAGCGGGAGAGCAGGAAGCCACCACCTCCACAGTAGGGTGGGTAGTGCTCCTCCTGTGTCACTATTTTTGGCACGTAATACTTGCTCCCTGGGACCCGGATGGGGCCCACAGATTGGATCAGATGCCCCACAAAGAGATGGTGATCAGGGTTGTTGCCCTGCAGGTAGGAGACCATGTTGTCTGTGTGTGCAAAGACATCGTCGTCCCCATTAAGTATGAAGCTGGCGTTGGTGCACCGAGTCTCCTGCCATTGTAGGAAGAGTACCTGCAGGTGGGTGGATAAGGTATGTGGGCTTAAGGGCTAGGATGGCCGCCCCAGCCCATCAAGCCCAGGGGAGGATGTATCCCCAGTCAACCCAGCCTGGGTTCAAGGCTGTGGGGTGACCTCAGCAACCAACTGCTCCTCTCTGTGCCTCAGTTTCCAACTTTCCATTCAGGCCTCATCTAAGGACCTGCCTGTAGGATTGCTGGGAATCCATAGAGATAATTTTCTGTAAAGCACCAACAAAATTGTCGCATTTACATTTATTGTGATTCCCACTTTGCACGGCCAAGTGCTTCTGTTATATAATTACTTGTGTGTTTATCACTGAACCTACCCCCCTCCCTCACCAGACTCTGAGCTCCCCCTGGGTGGAGTCTGTGTCTCCTACCCATGCCAAGTTCCCAGCACACATTGTGGGCTCAATGCTCATAGGGGCTAGATTCATTTGTTAAATTAATGTTTACCATGTGCTTTGGTGTTTTGTGTTAAGAACATGGTATATAGCGTCAGCCTGCGGTCTAGAGAGACCCGGGTTCAGTTCCCACTAAGGGCACGTATCTCGGTTGCAATTTGTCCCCAGCCCTGGTTGGGTGGTGCGGGTGGCAACCACTCGATATGTCCCTTCATGTCAATGTTTTTCTCTCTCTCTCCCTCCCACTCTAACTGAACAACAACAAAAAAAAATGTCCTCAGGTGAGGATTAAAAAGAACATGGTATATTGACAGTTCCTGGCCCTCTGCTTGCTTTGTCTTCAGATTCCTCCATAATAACCTTTGCTGCCTGCCAGGTACTGTCCTCAGGGCCTGACCTGCTTTGAATCCCTAATGCAAACATAGGAAGCGGTCTTCAATCCCATTTACAGATGAGGAAATAGAAGCTGTCCAGACATAGTGCCTTGAGCAAGGTCACATAACACAGAAGCAACACCTTGAGGTCTTGAATCTAGACCAGTCTGTACCTACTAGGAGCAGGAAACTGCATTGGGTCTCTACTCAGCTGGCCCCAACCTGCATGGATCCTTGAGTCTCCAGTTCCTCCTCTGCATGTGGATTCTTTATACCTGTCATGGGTTCTTGTCCATCAAAAACATCTTTATTGCCCAGCCAAAATGGCTCAGTTGGTTGAGCGTTATCCTGTGCACTAAAAGGTTGCCAGTTCGATTCCCAGTCAGGGCACGTACCTGGGTTGTGGGTTTGATCCCCAATCAGAAGCATACAGAAGGCAACTGATGAATGTTTCTCTCTCCCTCTCTTCTCTCTCTCTCTCTTTTCCTCTCTCTAAGCATGTCCTCAGGTGAGGATTTCTTTTTAAGTTTTTATTGAGTATCCACTGCACAGACTGGGCCTCATGGGGAGACAGAACCAGACCAAATAAACAAGGTGTGTTCTGTTCAGTACCTGCCTCCCTCCACCCCATTGCCAATGTTATTTGAGAGCCTGCCACTGGTCCAGATGCCTTCTAAATATCATCTCATAATCCTTACAGCAGCCCTCAGAGGTGAATGAGTCCAATTAATATCCCAATTTCCCTGATGAGGAAACTGAGGCACAGAGAGGTGAACCATTAGCAAGAGCAACACAGAACCTGAATTTCATCCTGGGTCATCAGGCCCCTATAGCCAGGCTTGTAAACTCTGGTCAGCCTGTGCTTTCTCCCTGCCTCCCCTAGAGAAAAAGGACTTCAGATGTCATGAGGACAGTAGAGGGGGTGGGGAGGGGGGAGGGGTCTGCTGGTCCCCTTGGGCTCCTCAGAGATGGTGGCTATCTGGGCAGGAAGGACAGGTGGCCCTGATCAGGTGACTTCCCACAGCCTACCTGCTTGAGTGTGAGGTTGAAGAAGGAGTCATAGAAGTCCCATTGCAGGATGTCGCCATGGATCCTGGCCTCCATTGCTAGCAGCTGGTTGACCTTGCGGGCCTCCTGCGGTTGTGGGGCTGTACCCACCAGGAAGAGACGGCGCAACTGGACGCCGCGCACCTTCCGCTCACGGCCCCAAGTGCGCCGCACCAGCTCCCTGCGCTCGTAATTCCTGGGAGATGTCTTGATGACCAATAACAGGAAAACTGGCTGCCTGCACTTGCTCAGTGGGGGGTCCTGCATCAGAGGGAAGTCCCGGCAGTGTTTGTGCAGCAGGAAGTCACGCACACGCTGTGGCAGCCGGCTGAAGTCGGCCAGTTTGGCCATAGAAGTGTTGGCCCGGCAGGGGGTGGATGGGGGGAAGGTGAGCGGAGGGGGCCAGGTCAGAGCTTTGGGGGTGCCCAGCGGCTCTTTCAGACACCTGCTAGGGCATGGTGACATGTGCAGACTGAGGAGGAGGAAGAGGAGAGTGAGGGTGCAGAGGACCACAGCCAGGACCACCATTGTCCGAGGGGTCTGGAAACGTCTCATCATGGTCTCCAGGTTTGGGATTGGTCCAAGGGCTTTCCAAGGGCATTCCCAGGGCGGCTCCTCTGGAGAATAACATTCACTGAAGATCCAGGATGGTCCAAGTACTTTTCCTGAGCCACCTGTGGACCCCAACACCTAGTTGCAGCATACAGGTTGCTCAGGTTGGTAAAATATTGGAATTCACTCCCACCTAGTCCCCTATGGCCCATCTCCTCTAGCACCCCAACCCAGCTTGACTCTGACAGTTGTTCAGGCCCTGCTAGAGATTCCATATTTACAAAGAAAACCAAGGCACATGCCTGGCCGGCGTGGCTCAGTGGTTGAGCATTGACCCAGGCACCAAGAGGTCGCCAGTTCAATTCCCATTCAGGGCACATGCCCAGGTTGTGGGCCTGATCCGCAGTGGGGGGCATGCAGGAGGCGGCCAGTTGATGTTCTCACTCATCGATGTTTCTATCTTTCTCTCTGTCTCCCTTCCTCTCTCTCTAAAATCAATAAAGAAAAAAAAATAAAAATAAAAAAGAAAGAAAGAAAACCAAGGCACAGGAATGCCCCCCAGACTCAGTATGCCCAGAATCCCCTCCCTCCATGTCCAGCCTGGTCCTCCTTATGTCCCTGCTTCAGAAATAGCCCAGGAGCTGCCCAGAGGGAGGCAGAGAACTCCCCTTTTACCAACTGAGAGCTGCTGGCATCTTTCCTGCTTCCCTTTCACCTGCCCATCTAGGAAGCTCTGAGCTCTGGGATTCTGAAAAACCATCACCCATTCTTCTTGACCACAGTAAAAGCTCGATATAATGGACTGATTCAGACCAGGGGGTGTCCCATTAAAGCTGAAAGTCCATTATATAATAAAGTAGCTTTTCTAAATGTGTATGTAAAAGAATTGACAAATTAGTTAGTTTGCCTGTTTTTACTTATGTAGGTACGTTTGTGCAATTAAAATTAAGTATATTTGAAAAGTTTAATTTCACAGAAAAGTTTTCTATATGTATTACAGTAATTTTATTTTATTTATTTATTTATTTATTTATTTATCCTCACCCAAGGATATATTTTCATTTTTTGTTCAGATAGAGCAGGAGGGAGAGAGAGGAAGAGAGAGATAGGAACATCGATGTGAAAGGGACACATCGAGTGGCTGCCACCCGCATGACCCAACCAGGGTCAGAGACAAACTGCAACCGAGGCACATGCCCTTAGCGGGAACCGAACCCGGGTCTCTCTGGACCGCAGGCCGACACTCTAACCGCTGAGCCAAATTGGCCAGGGCTGTATTACAGTAATTTTAAATTTATACTGAATAGGTCTAGTAAATTCGTGCATTCACTAGTCACTGGGAGTAAACAAAGGCACGGGCCTGGGGCGTGGCGTAGCACACATGGGAACATCAGCAGGCAGGTGTTAAAACTGCTGCAGAGCCCTGGCTGGTTTGGCTCAGCAGTTGGAGCATCGGCCTGCGGATCAGAGAGTCCCAGGTTCGGTTCCCGCTAGGGGCACATACCAAAAAAAAGCCCTGGCCGGTTTGGCTCAGCGGTTAGAGCGTCGGCCTGCAGTCCTGAGAGACCCAGGTTCAGTTCCCGCTAAGGGCGCGTACCTCGGTTGCAGTTTGTCCCCGGCCCTGGTCGGTTGTGCGGGTGGCAGCCACTCGATGTGTCCCTTCACGTCGATATTTCTCTCTCTCTCTCTGTTCCTCTCTCTCCCTCCCATTCTACCTGAACAAAAAATGGGAAAATGTCCTCGGGTGAGGATTAAAAAAAAACTGCTGCAGAGCCTTGGCCTGTGCTGCTCAATGGTTAGAGCACTGGCCCGAGCATTGAAGGGTCGAGGGTTTGATTCCCTGGTCCTGGCCCTGGTTGGGGCACGTGCAGGAGGCAACTAATGGGTGTGTCTCTCTCACATTGATGTTTCTCTCTCTCTCTCCCCCCACCCTTTCCTTCTAGTCTCTCTTTAAAAAAAAAAATACATTTTTATTGATTTTAGAGAGAGAGGAAGGACGAGGGAAAGAGAGAGAGAAACATAAATTGGCTGCCTCCTGTGGGTCCCCCACCAGGGATCAAGCTCGAAATCCAGGCATGTGTTCTGACCGGTAATCGAACTGGCAATCCCCTGGTACACAGGATGACATTCAATCCACTGAGCCACACCAGCCAGGCTCCTTCCACTCTCTCTAAAAGTCAATGGAAAAAATATTTTCAGGTGAGGTGGTTGGGTCATGCGGGAGGCAGCCACTAGATGTGTCCCTTTCACGTTGATGTTTCTCTCTCTCTTCCTCTCTCTCCCTCTCACTCTATCTGAACAAAAAATGGAAATATGTCCTCGGGTGATGATTAAAAAAAAATTAATCTCAAAAATTGATTTTCTAGGAAGTTCTCTTTGACCCCTCAGGAAGAATCCTGGTTCCCTATTTGGTACCTTTAGCTCTGTCTTCTGCTCTGGCTCAGTCCTGATCCCATGGGGGTGTCTGTGTCTGGCACTGTCTTCCTAAGACTAGGGGTCCTGGTATCAGCCAGCATGAGGTAGACACATGGGGGAAGCAAGGAGTGTTTGAATGAATACATTTATGAATGAAAGTAAATTCATTAAGTTGCTCTCTGGCAAACTCTTATTCAAACTTCAAAACCCCAGCTCTAATGTCTCCTCCTGGGAGTTCTTCCTCCCCATATCTAGGCAGAACCCTCAGTCTCCCTTCTAGGTCCCTTTCCCAGGCTCTCCTAGACTCCTTGAATGTCCTTTCGTCTAGGAAGGTGGTGTCTGTGCTATTTTCAGCCCTAAATTTGAGGATCTATTTTTCCAGTGCATCATGAAAGTGCTGGATTAGACCCAAGGCAGATTTTAGCCATTCAGCCAACACTTACTGGCTTATCGCAGGGCTGTGCAGACTCTGGAGCCTAAATCCTGGGTTTAAATACTGACTCCATCACTTCCTGGCGGTGTGCTTTTCATACCCTGGACCTCAGTCTCCTCAGCTGTAAAGGGGGCATCTGAACAATCCCCTACTCACAGGGCTGTGCAGGTGTGAAGGGAACTCTCAGCACCAGGCCCCTAAGTAGTCATTCAACGAGCATTATGTGAACCTCAGCACTTACCTCAGCCTACCTCAGGATGTTCGTGCCAGTCTGGGGTCTTCTCGTTCTCCCCACTGATACCTGGAACAGTGTAGGGCAGTCAGGGGGTTCTGGTGGGACCTTCCTCCCCCAAGTGACCCCACGCAGCTATTGCCCAGAGGGCAAGCAAGAGAGTGATTTCCTGGTTCCATATAGAGCCAAAAATGGGTGCTGTACTGGGGACAGTGTCAGCTTCCCCAATGTACCCATCTCTGTCCCTGCACACGGTCTGACTGAGACCTCTCCAGCTAGATGTCTTCCAGAAATGGGATTCAGTTCCCATCCCACAGGTCCCACTGTGTGACCTTGGGAAAGAAGCTACACCTCTCAGAGCCTCCATGTAAAATGAGGGGAATGAACCTTATGTAAAAGTGTTGTGGGGATCTTAGCCCCAAACATGATGGGCACAGTCCTGCCTCAGGACCGTCGCACAGGCATTTCCTCTGCCCGGCATGCTTCCCCCAGATTTTCGCGCAGATCTTCCACTTCCTTCCTGTTTTTGTTCAGATGTCCCCTTCTCAGGGAGGTCTCCTGAGGACACACCATCTCATTGATCCCCACCCATTCTACCCGTTCTTTCTTCCACAGAACTTTCCACCTCCCAAAATATATAATAAAACTTTTTAAAGGTGGTGTTTCTTATCCATTTCCTCTACCAGAACATAAGCTCCATGTGACTTGTTGTGTTCATCATTTTATCCCCAGCTCCCAGACAGTGCTCGTTATATAGTAGGTGCTTGGTGGGTCCTCAGGCATGTAGAGTGAATGATGAATGAATGCTATCTTGCCACAGCATCTGAAAAGATACTGACTCTCAGAATGAATTTACACATTCATTCATAGAAGTCGATATTTATTGTGTCTGTACACCACCTCCTGGGAGCTGGGGACACAATGGTGAACAGGCACAAAGTACCTAAATGTCTCTGCCACTATGGAACCCATACTCACAAGGGGGACAAAAACCTCAATGAGATGATACAAGATGACAAAAGACAAGGGAGCAAATGGAGTCCGGTGGCAGGCGTGGATTTTGAGATCTGGAAGACATTTAAGCTGGGATGTGATGGTGCGGAGGAGCCAGCATGACTGAGGTTTGGGGGAAGGTGTCCCAGGGGAGGGAACAACTAATGCAAACGCCCTTCGCCCTTCGGTGGGAATGAGCTGGTAGAGCCTGAGCTGTTGCCGGACCCTGCCTGCAGGTGGCACAGAATCTGTCTTATTGCTGTGGCATCCCTTATTGCTGTGGCTGCCAGTCCCCGGGGAGTCCACTCTGGCAGACAGGTCTGGGAGATCCAAAAAGGCAAATTATCTTGGGATGAGATTGTGAACTGATGAATGTGACACAAGAATGAACTGAATCCCTAGAAGGACATCTTTCTGAGCTGAAGAGCAGCCTAAGTCCAGGGAGGCAATGACAAAGAAGCCCTCTGGTCAAACTTGGCAGATCCCTCACCTCGAAGGATGGGAAAGACCTCATGAGCTATGGTAAAATGACTGAGTCACCAAAGAGTAAATCAGATTAGAGATGCCAGAGCATTCTCCTGGCTACATGGGTGGCTGGAGACCCACCCACCTCCCAAGCCATTAAGGACCCATGAAAATGAGAGATTTTGCCCTCAGGAACACTTGGCAATGTCTGGAGACATTTTTGGTTATCATGACTTGGGTGGGGCGGAGGTGTGGCACAGTGAATGCGATGGAGTGGGTGGAGGCCAGGGATGCTGCTTAACATTATGTGGCCCCACCACAGAGGATGACAGCCCCAACTGTCAGCATTGTTAGGATTGAGAAATCCTGCTCTAAACTAACAGAAACCAGAACAGAGAACTTGAAATGAAGAATGGTCAGAAAAGTTGAATCAGGGAGTGAGCAAAGAATCTTAACATAGGTTTATAT